TGTGATAGCCTAGCAAAAGACTATATTATCGTCTAAACTACATAATGGCCTCAACCACTTCAGACACCCAGTCTAGTTGAACCGAGCTGACACGCTTAGCCCACGCCTTGCCTGTAAATACAAACTCATTGAACACAATAGCCTCCAATTTTTTTCCAAACAGCACTGAGCTGGGGTGGATCGCCACTGTTTGGTTACCAATCATCGTCTTGTAGCTACCATCTGGCATCAATCTCGCTGTATTGGAGATGAAGCCACGCAGCATACATGCCAATATGGCTTGACTCCTAGCTTCCGAAGGTGCATTATCGGACTCTTCGTCGTCAGCCGAGAGCAGCTTCTGCTGTCTACACTGTTCCCGCAATTGTTTCCTAATGTTCATTACATTCTCCATTGCGCGGTGGGATACGTAGTGCTTGTCACACCAAGCACGACGCTGTGACTTCAGTTCAGCTGCGTATCGCTGAACAGTAATGAGAAGTGTGAGGTGATCGCCTTCTCGGCGGTATAGCTCACGCCGGACTTCCTCTGCCTCTTCTTTGCGCTCTTCGGTGACAAGGTTCAGAAAGACCTCCTCGACGCTGAGTGCGGATATGATATCGATCACGTCGAGTAGGCAGTCGCGATCTGGCTTCGCCGCTTCGACTAGTACTCGCCCTAGCGTAGGCGTGAGCGGGAACTTCGCAATTTTGAGGCCAATATCGCTAATTTCGCCGGTATCTGTCAAGGCTTGTAAGTGCAATAGCTGCAGAAGAGCCTTTTCTAGAGCTTCCCGTGGCGGCCGATCAAGGAATGGAAAGCCGAGCACGTCATCGACACCTCGCGCCTTCATTGTCAAAATAGCCTGACTGAGGTCGCAACGCAAAATCTCGGGCGTGGTGCGTTCTTCCATAGTGTTGTAACCGTTTTCAGTATATAATCGATAACACTGGCCAGGTGCTTCACGACCAGCTCGGCCTTTGCGTTGGATAGCTGCAGACTTGGAGATAGGCTTCACAAGCAGCGACTCGAGACCTAGGCGGCTGCGGAATTGCTTTATCTTCGACTTTCCGCAGTCAACCACAAAACGGACGCCAGGCACAGTGACTGATGTTTCAGCGATGTTGGTCGCAAGAATGACGCGGCGTGTGCGATAGGGCGTTGGCTGAAAGATGCGCTGTTGGGCGTGTTGCGGAAGGGCGGCGAAAAGAGGTAGCGCAAGAAGTTTGGGGACCTCATCATCCATGTTTTCAGCGTAGTCGTTGATGAGCTTCTCCAGTCCCTCAATAGTATCTTGCCCTGTGAGAAAGACCAGTATGTCGCCTGGCAGAGGCTCCTTGTAATGTATTTGGAAGACGAGCTTGAGAGCTGCTTCGACCCAGTCCTGTGTTGGTTGCGGCAAGTATACTGTTTTGACGGGGTATTGCCGCCCCTCTACAAAGCACGTCGAGACGTTGCCTTTGCTTTCCGTAGTAGGTTTCGCGACCGCCTTCTCGGTGTTCGACACCGGCTGACTGTCTCCGAAGAATTTGACAAGACTTTCCACGTCTGCCGTGGCACTCATCACTACCACCTTAAGCGGATGTTTCCTCGCCACGCTACCTTCTTTGGTGGATAACAGATTTCGTAGGAACCCGAGAATCAAGTCGACGTTCACACTTCTTTCGTGGACCTCATCTACTACTACGGCGCTGTACTGCAACATGTTGGGATCTCTGAGCATCTCCTGAAGCAGCATACCCTCTGTCAGAAACTTGACTTTGGTGTGCTTTCCCGCAGCAGTGTCGAAACGAACGCTGTATCCAACCTTGGCAGTAGGACCTTTGTCTCCAAGTAAGCTACCCATCTCGTCCGCGACGCGTCGTGCCAGGGAGATTGCCGCCACTCTTCGAGGTTGCGTAATCGCTATACACCCGGTACACCAGGACTCATTGATCAAAAATTGGGGCACTTGTGTCGATTTTCCGGAACCAGTCTCTCCGGTCAGAACGAGGACGTTGTTTCTTTGGAGAGCTGCTCTGATGATGTCTGCTTGAGGCCATATCGGAAGCGACTTGCGGACCATCCGCAGTTCATCACGCTTCTGAATTACATGCGATGGCACTCTTAAGTCTTGTTGAGAGGTGCGAGGTCTGTCGGCCTGTTTGTTCTTTGGTCGAGCTTGTTGTTCGGGTTTTGGTTGAGGTTTGGTAGACTGAGGCGCATCTAATTTGTTGCGCTTGTGCATCTCCGCTTGCCGCTCCACTGGAGTTTCGACGACGCTTTCCATTCTTTTGGGTTCGGCGGCGGGCTTAGGGTGCTCCGCAGTAGAACTGGGGGTGTCATCGTCGGAATGGTCGAACTTGATCAACACGCCGGCTCCCTTCTTCCCACTCCAGCCATCTTTCGCTGGCTGAACTCTCTTTCTCTTCTTGCCTTTCTTAAGTTCCACGGGAAGGTCCTTCGCGCCTTCAACTTTTGGTTCGCTGCTCTTTCTGTTGGACATTTCGTTGTCGCGACTGGAACCCGCGTTTCACGTTGCCAAAACTTTTCCGCTCTTCCCAAGATCGTTATCGATAAGCCTGCTAGCGCAACACGCGCGTGCACGGGTCAGCGACCCACATCCCCACATTCCAAGCCACGCAAGGTTCTCGGTCACTCGCTGGCCACTCCCTCATCGCGTTACTGACGATGCGTAGCAGGACGCGGCTGAGTCTTCTAGTGTTCGGTGCCAATTATCCCGACGCTATGCGTTCATGGTTGACCCCGCCGCTGGGGACGATCAACTGGGAACTTAATCAAAGTAGGGCGGGAGAGGATGCCGTCATAAGCTATATAAAGACGAGCGGGTAGACGCGTTGCTAACAAACCACGAAGCCATCATGTTTCCACTCAAGCTGGGGAAGTGGGTCAAAGTACTGTGCTTGCTTTCTGTCGCATCGCCTGTCGTGGAAAGCAGGATTGATCGCAAGTCGATTGTCCAGCAGTATAATATCAAGCTCAGCCGATCGAACCCATACAGCCCAGTCCAGATCGGCAATGGAAACTTCGCGTTCGGTGTAGACATTACCGGACTGCAGACCTTTCTGCCACACAATACTCTTTCATCATGGGGATGGCACAATGAATCTCTGCCAACAACACCGAATCAAACGCTCCCATCAGACTATACCGGCGTTGACTGGTGGACCCACGATCACCTTGTCAACTATGCGCAGCCCAACCCAGAACAGAAGGACATCAGTCGGTGGATGATCGCGAACCCACATCGTATCAATTTGGGAAGAGTTGGACTGTGGTTCGGCGGCATCGCGGGAGGAAACGTCACGGAAGACCTACTCAGTGGTAAAGAGCAGCTGCTAGAACTCTGGGAAGGAGTCATCAAATCCTCCTTTTTTATCAATGGAGAAAAGGTTGTAGTGACAACTGTTGCAAGTCCGGATACCGATACTGTCGCTATAGAGATATCATCCAGCCTAGTGAGGACTGCAGGACTTGGTGCTTTCTTCGATTTCCCGTATGCGACTGGGAAAAATAAGTTCGATGCACCATTTGTTGGTCTCTTCAACGCTACGTCCAACCATTCCACGACGGATGAATACAGGAACAGAGGTGCGACAATTACGCATACTCTAGATGCAACAACATACACAGCCGATATCTCCTGGGAAGATTATGCCCGCCTCTCGCGCCTCCACAGAGATGAGCACAAGTATGTCCTAGCTGCCAACCAGAATTCTGAAAAGCTCTCATTTACTGTGACTTACGCCCCTCGCGTGGCCAATATGTCTCATACTCCTGAGACAGTCAAGCAAAAATCACAAACTTGGTGGGCAGACTACTGGTCGACTGGTGCATTCGTGTCACTTCCATCGGCTAACAATGCCTCTGCAAATGAGCTGCAACGTCGCACGATTCTTTCTCAGTACCTTCTTGCAGTCAACGGGGCTGGCAAAGATCCTCCACAAGAGTCTGGTTTGGTGAACAATGGGTGGTATGGCAAATTTCACATGGAAATGGTCTTCTGGCATCTAGCCCATTGGATGTTCTGGGGGAAATGGGACTTTTATAACCGCAGTATCGGCGTTTACGAGCGCTTTCTAACCAGCAGCTTTGACCGAGCTGAAAAGCAAGGATACAAAGGCGCACGCCTCGGCAAGATGAGCGATCCAAGCGGCCGGTCTGCGCCAGGCGAGATCAACAGCCTACTCATTTGGCAACAACCGCATCCCATGTACTTCGCCGAGATGGAATATCGATCTTTCCCGACCGAAAAGACTCTCGAGAAATGGGATGAGATTTTGACAGGCGTGGCGGACTTCATGGCCAGCTATGCCTTCTGGAATTCCACGACGAATCGATACGATCTTGGGCCGCCCATGTATCCAGTCTCTGAGAACACTAATCCCAACAAGACGATTAACCCGACGTTCGAGCTGGCGTACTGGCGCTTTGGTCTCGACGTAGCGTCGAAGTGGCAAGCACGGCAAAACAAATCTACCCCGGAGTCTTGGACACACGTACATGACAATCTAGCGCCTTTCCCTTTTGAAGAGGACGCGTATGTGACGTATGAGGGTATACCGAACATGTGGACTTACCCCGAATATACGGAAGATCATCCAGGTCTTCTGGGTATATATGGTTGGTTGCCACCAGACTCCCGCGTCAACATGACAATCTTCAACAACACCATCGCGAAAGTCCACGAAACTTGGAACTTCCCCTTTTCTTACGGCTGGGATTTCCCGTTGCTCGCTATCACGGAAGCGAGGAGAGGAGATGAGGAACGCGCTGTTAGTCAGTTGCTCGACGTGAATAATGCTTTTGATGAAGTAGGAATGCCAGAGGGGGGAACAAGAGTGCCGACGCCGTATTTTCCAAGCTCAGCGGGCTTACTGCTTGCGGTGGGGATGATGTGTGGTGGCTGGGATGGGTATGAAGGGCCTGTGTGGCCGTCGCACTGGGATGTAGAGTGTGAGGGTTTCACGCGGGGCATGTAGGGTGATTGCTTAAACACGGTATTTGTGCAGCTTGGGTAATCCTAGACATCGTTCTCATCATCCCTTTCCTCTTCAATATCCACGTCTGGAAAAGCGCCCATCTCTCCGAGGACGTCTGCAAGAGTGACACCCTGTTGATCTAAAAGTGAAACGCCCAAGTCTACCATTTTCTTCACACTATACCTAAACCTCTTCCAAGTTTCTATCCTTCTCGTGTCTGCCACTTTCATCTTCTCTCGCCAGAGAAATGGCTTTGCTCCGAGATAGTCGTTGATTGAACGCATGCAAATGGTATGTAACTTCCTGTCCGGCGGCAATGATCCGACGATCTGAAGCAACGACTCTAGAGTTTGAACTCCACGACCAATATTCTCAGGGAATTGACGAAGCACAATCTGAGTGACTGATACAGGGAGATTTCCGAGAGGCCCTCTGGTATCAAAAGTATCAAACACCTCCAGAGAGGATGTATGATCAAAGATCTCGGACATGTTGGCCAGTTGGCTATCATCAAATTGCAGCGTCCTCAAGCCGGCACCGTGCTTTGCCATGAAAGCAGGCAAATTCCTCAGTTCCCTCCAGATATCGTGCGGCTTCCAGATTGCAAGAGCCGAAAGCTTGGGCATAGCCGAGTGTGTGAGCCAGCCTAGTAGCTCGTTAGTGGCGTACTCTGCAGCCAGCTCAATCAAGCGTAGATGTGGAAAGTCAGATGGTTCAACATCGTCCAAGTTGCGCGTTCGGCCACTAACCCCGAGGTGGAGGTCTCTGAGGGCCGTGAAGTGTTTTAGGAGGGGGAGCGCTTCCTGAATACGGACGGGGCGACCTCCAATGTTTATAGACAGCTTTGTAAGTTGTGAGCCGTGGGAGCGTAAAATAGCTGCGATTTGCGGACACTGGAGTTCAGTACGACAAAACAGTTCGCTCAAGTTCGTCATGCGGGAGAGCAGAGTGGGCAGTGCAGCTTGCAACGCCATCAGGGTTGGTTCAGTAGGGCTTTCGCCCTCATCTCTTCGGATCCAGAATGAGCGCACCCAAGAAGCTTTCGGCGCATCGGAATCAGTAGGATGGTCAAGAAGATGGGCCAAAGCTGTGACGCGATTGGATGCTAGATCGTTGTTGCCGTCGATCGATACATTGCGGTAGACAAGTGGCTCTACCAAGTCCTGCGAAAGGTTAGATAAAAGGTGCGTGGGTTGATTTGAATTGATTGTACCTTCCATGACCTGCATACATATTGCAGTCTCTGTAAATCACGCATTCGTTCTCTTCTGTACTTGAGAGACTGGTTGAAAATGTGCGTGTTGTAAGTAACCACATGCTCGAATATGGTGAGCCATAGCTCAGTGGGCAAAGCGAGTAAGACGTAATGCTCACTTAGCTGTGCAATGGTTATGTCCATGCTGCGATTGGAGAAACGTAGAAGACAGGTGGATCAGTTGAGTGACGCTGCTTGGAAGGTGGATTTATCTAGACACAGACTAGCGCAGATCTGGTTAGACAGACTCTCGAGATCAGGCGAGCAGGGCTTGCTTATCATTACATATACTTGAGGGCAAATGCTAGAACGGCTTGATGCATGCCACTTCTGTAATCTTCAATCCCTTCATCAGCCGTTCCGACTCCACAAGACACCCTTGCGGTGACGATGTGTGCGATACGCCACGCTGGTAAGTCCCTCTCACAGACGGCCAACCGTGAGCAGAGCTATGTCTCCATAAAGTCCTTCATGCTTGTTGTCCACGAGGTCATCTTTGGAGTGCGTGTCCTCGCACATGCCATAAACGCTTTTGACAAGTCCATCGTAAAGGCGAGTGGCATATCGTCAAGGTGAATAGCTCAGTTCTCGTTCGCCTCTCTAACGCACACATCAACCATGAAGCGCCTGCCAGGGGATCCCTCCGGAGTTCCATCGTATATGGTCTTGACTATACTGAAGCCTGGACGTAGTGGCTTGTAGAAAGGCCGGTTGAGCGGGGCGTCACGGAAGGCGATCAAGACGGCGTTCTTGAGTGCAGTATCCATGAGCATTTCCCCCACAACGTAGCTCTTGCCAAGCATGCCAGTCTCATGATTGAACCCCCCTGTACTCTTTGTGGTGACAATAGGGAATGTCTTGAGGTACAACCAATGGAGGTAGATTTTGAAGATAGTGGGGTCTTTGTCGACAATACTGATAGTGCGCGCCTCAAGACGAGATGCTGCCCACTCTTCCTTCATAGGGTTGTCGAAGAACTTTGAGCTTCTCCTGATCACAGCTTCATGGTTCCTTCCTTGCCAACGTTCACTGTGATGATGTCGAAAAGGATAAGCACGATCAATATCGTATCCTTTACGACATGTGTAGGACTCACTTAAAGGCCCATATTCTGACTTGAAGTTGATCGCCGGTTCCTCAATCTGCCCCGACATTGCTACAGAAGATAGCCGGCCGGAGATGGTCCTCAGTTTTGTCGCGGTGTCTTTGAGGAGGAGTCGAGAGAGGATTAGGGTAAATAAGCTCGACGAAGGTGAAGATGAGTGGTGAGAACGCAGTGTCGTGCACCAAAGTGAACCATGAAGAGACAAGCGCGCCTGCCGTATCGGGACGAAGCGAGTGAGGACATGGTAGTGTGCTGATGACATGTTATCCTTATTTTACATTCTTCACAGTATAATACAAAGTCGTAAATTCGTCCCTCAAGACCATCGAATCTTCATCTTCCACTGATCCAGCTTGGCCTCCCACCATGTCTTCTTAGGCGCCCGCTCGATTTCCTCCATCAATCTAGTGTAGTGCTCCGGCGCAGATGTCGGCTTGAGTACACCCGGTGATAGCGCATACTTCGTGCTATATCGGTTCTCTAGTAACGAGAATAATGCGTTTACTTGGGCTTGTTCGAGCTTGGGATTTGCGGGCGGTGAAGATGCGGCCGGTGTTGTAGACGCGGGCGCTTGGGGCTTTGCGCCTTCTTCGGGAGTGGGTGTTATGGGTTGGACGCCGAATGGTTTTCCATGATGCTCGATTGCGCGTGTGAAGGGTAAATTTGGGCGCAATGCGTCTTTGGGCCAAAGAGCGAGGAGGCGGGTGTATTGCTTTGTTATCTAGACAATGTCAGCTGAATATGTTGCAATGCACTGCTGCATACTCACAGTATTCGCCATGGTTGGGTGTGAACTGGGAAAAAGTGATGTTCTTCACTCTGTCCGGGCCTCAAAGTCGATGATGCTTCGGTAACCAGGGTCCAGGCGCTATTGGATCGTGGCGCAGCAGCCGTGTCGCATGGCCCAAAAGCGAGCGACTTGCACTTGAAACGCCTCCTCCACTGCACCTGCCGCCTGACACGCTCCACCCACCTACACCTCCCTCCTACAACCGCCGTCTTTCTCGTCCACGCTCGCTGCCTTGCCTATTCCTACGACTCCCTGCCTTGACGACACTCGATAGCAGATATCCCATCGCCCCCTTCACGTCACACATCCGGTTATCCGCGCAACATGCCTAGCCAGGGCTACGAGAGGGTACGTTGCCCCGGTCCATCCCGACCACCATGCGACTGCGCGAAACCCCTATATTGCTTTCGCAACGACAGGACTAATGCGTACATTCAGGTAGCCGCCCAAGACGAAGAAGACTCTCCTCAGACGCTGCAACCCGGCCAGCAGTGGCCCCCGGCCTCGCCACCACCCTCCTTCCACTCGCGCGCATCATCACCGAACGGCACATCACGGCATCTCTTATCCGAGGACCCAAGAACAAACGAAGAAGACCGCACCCTCGCTGATACCTTCGACTCGGATTCCGATGACGATGACGATAACGATGGGCGCGACGATCGGCAGCGGCTGATGCGGGGGAACCCCAGGACAGAAGACGAGGCGGCGCCACCGGGCATCCAAAGGAGAGTGACGGAACTGCCAGTATTCAACACACAAGCGCCGACCCCAGGGCGGGTGTACGGTGGAGGCAACGGTGGTGTGTGGGCAAATCTAAGCGCAAAGCCTACCAGAGGGGAGGATGCCGAGGAAAAGCCTCCAGTACGCATCAGACTATCGATAAGTCGCGTGAATCACTGCTAACACGCATCAGACATACGAACAAGCTGCCGCAGACGCGACACCACCCTACTGGGAAACCACCATCCTCGCTCCCGGCACTTTTGGCGATGAAGTATTTGTCGAAGGCCTCCCCGTCGGCTCCCTCTTCAGCTTCCTCTGGAACGCCATGATCTCCATGTCCTTCCAACTCGTCGGATTCCTCCTTACCTACCTCCTCCACACGACCCACGCCGCAAAGAACGGATCCCGCGCTGGTCTCGGTATCACGCTTGTGCAGTTCGGTTTCGGCTTCCGCTCCGCCGTACTTTCTCCGAACAACGGCAGCAATGATAACCCCGGACAAGGGTTCGACGGTGGCGTTCCAAACGATCCGAATGCGCACGACTTCGACCCAGACAAGGTCGGCAGTGGAAACGCAGGTGGCAGTGACATGACACCTGCAGCGAGTGCGATTACAGGCAGTGACTGGATAGCGTACGGCCTGATGATTGTTGGCTGGTTCATCTTGATCAAAAGTGTATCCGATTTCATCCGCGCAAGGCGGCACGAACAACTCGTTCTTCAGTCTCCCGATCGGGGGCTGGGTGTGGCGGTTGTCGCCGAGGGTGAAAGCCCAGAGCGCAGTGTATAATTTCTTCAATGAGCCTCAGACTGGCATCTTCTCTTCTCTCTTTTCATAGCGTATTACTTGGTTGCATCTAGGGACGGAGTTTACTATTGGCTAAAGACAGATCGAAAGATACGCGCTTCGCTGTTGAAGCAGCACATCACTGCACGATTTTCCTTAGTCACCTATATATTACTTTATTATCTACATCTCCTTCTGGGGTTTCTTCCATACGAAGTCCATCACCGTTCAGCTGCTTCCCCTGTGCTGATGCAATTCATTATCTGGCGTCACAAAATGCTCGGTTGAAATCACACGCGGCGATAGTAGAGATATGTTGAATTAGTCATTGGCTATTGTATATGCACAACATGTGCTGGGTATCTTTGGGGTAAAAATCTCAAAAACAGCTCTTGACAAAGCGCTCAAGTCCCGTAGATGAAATCAAATCATGTGCCTGATGATATGTTAGCAAGCGTCTTTCGAGATGAACAGCGAAAATGACTTACCACAGGGAACCACCGCGCAGGAATCTTTGGCACAGACTTAGCATGCGACCCATGAAAGTTGCGAATCATTACATTACAACGCACTTTTCAGTCGCATACACTTCTCCATACTGGTCCACGCCCGCCATCATCTCGTTGTACCGCTGCTTGTTCTTGACTTCCTCTGGGAACCATTTCTTGAGGAAGGCGGCCTGTTCAGTGTCCAAGTTATCTGTGGTCACATAGTCAGAAATATGTCCCAAAACGTCCAGGACTTGGAGACATGCTTACCTGAATTCGCATCGAAGACTGTCTTCTCCCGGCAGAACGGACAGTTGTATTGCTTGTTGTTCTGCATGACGATCAAGCACCGAATGCAGAAAGTATGGTTGCAGCTAAGCTTTACGGGCCGCCATTGGATCTCCATGCACATGGGGCAGGAGTAGTCGTCTATCTGCGGGATGTGGGATAGGATCTGCGTGTTGACTTCTGCGCAGACGGCTTTGGCGAGATGTTCCGAGAATTCTGGGTACTCTACTTGACGCGGAAATGTAGACTTTACGCCTAGAGCTGTGCGTTTGTCGAATTCTAGTAATATGTCAGTTCACAACAATTCCATATTTGTTGGAGAAATAGAGAGACCTACTCTTGAGGATCTTGATCATCGCATTATGGTTGATCTCACCGAATCGCAGGCCTTGTAGAATCTCACGGTTGATATGCATGAAATTGTTCAGTGCTTGTAGATTCTCCTTCTTCTTCAACTGTTCCACTAAGCCAGCCTTGGCGATCTTGTTGGAGAACCCCGCCAGTCTCGCCATGGCCTTCTCTGAGTCGTGCGATTTATGGTCCATTTCTGTCGTTCCAAAGAAGATGCCCTCTTCCACGTATATTTGGAAGATTTGACGCCAAGCAGTGAGCATTTTCCTGTTGGCTCTCCGGTCTGGATCCGTCAATTTTGCAACCTGCTTCCCTAATGCTTCGATCTGGACATTCATTCGCTTTTGTTCCCGCTCCTGCAGTCTCTCCAGTCCTGTAACTTCACTGGTAAGCCTGGTGAAGAACTCCGTATCCGAGGTGATGGGAACCTCCACTGTACGATACCCTGGTCGATTACGAGAAGTATTGGTCGGGGTAGCAGTCGTAGGGTTGGATGGATCTATGGAGTCGACGGATTGGAGTGACGAGTTTGAGTCGTCCAAGACGCGCATATCAGACATACCCGTCTCAATAGCCAGCATCTGAAGTTTGCGTCTGGTGTCATCATCGAGTTGGGCGCTCAGTACCTCTCCACTAGATTCGTTCACGTAGAAGAGAAGCTTTGGATGGAACGCCTTGCGCGAGGGCGATGCATTATCCTTGGCACCGTCGGGGTTGAGAATGTACTCGAAAGGTCGTTCTTGATCGTCGTCTTCTTTGGTAGAAGCATTGTAGTCTTCGACATGTTTGAGTAGTTTGGACAAGGTGGCAGGGTCAAGGCCCACTTGCCGCAGCTCGTCAGTAAGCCTCTTGATGCATTTCTTGAGCTGCGAGTAAGAGATAGCCGAGTCGACCCACTCTGGCGGGAATCCCTCGTCCCGGAGAGTCTGCTTGAAGAGATGGCCGAACTTCATGTTTGGAGCAGGGTTGACGAGGTACCGTGGTAGGGCTGGCCGATCAGGAGGCGCAGAGAAGGCACGTGGGGAGCTGAGTGGTTGCGACCCTTAGCGGGGTACCTTCCACGCTTGTTCGGCCACAGTTCCGGGTCGGGCTAACGAAGCGTTCCAGCGATCACTGGCCTGGGATATGCAGATGCGGCTGTGTAGTAGATAGGGATAGTTGGGGACGAAGTGTCAAAGAGTCCCAGACGTGTGGTGGTGGGGGAGAAATAATGTTGAATGAGAGAATTACGACTTGTCAACAAGGGCGATTTACTCCGCGGGTCATGCGCCTGTCTGCCTGGAAAGGATGCCGCTAAATGGAGACCCCAGAATTCGATGGAGATTCGTCTTAGGCCATCACGAAAACATGGGGATGCGCCTCTTTTATGAAGCAAAACAAAGCATGGCGTGTGCCGGCTTTCGGCGCTGTCTAGACTGCGGTGGCTCCAATAGCGCTCTTCTTCAATCACTGTCTGCTCAAACTTTTCGCCTTCGCAGTCCGCGACCAATCAACGCCAAGCGCACAGTCATAGGCGATTTGCTTGCAGTGACGCAATATGGCTCTTCGCGACTCACCCAACTAACACGATGTGAAAGTCGGGGTGGTCTCGGTGTATAGCAGGGCTGTCAGCACGCGCACCGAGAACGCTGTGAAAGCTGCACTACAAACTTGTATGCTGTCACTCTCCCATACACGCCCACACAACTGAACTGCAGCATCCAGCCACTGCCACTGCAGGTAGTCCGAGACCCGAAAATCTCAAGTACGTCCGAACCGTACACCTAGCTGCATCGAGACAAAGCCACTATGGGTGCATCACAGTCCACCGGTGGCGGCGACGCGCCTAGTAATGCCGGCGAAGTCAAGACAAGTTACTACGAACTACTGGGTGTGGAGCGCAATGCCACTCAAGACGAGTACGTGACAAGACACACGTAACGTATTCACCACTAACATCTACAAGACTCAAGAAGGCATACCGCAAGAAAGCGCTCGAACTGCACCCCGACCGAAACTACGGCGATGTCGAACGTACCACTGCCCTCTTCGCCGAAGTCCGATCGGCATACGAAGTTCTCTCAGATGACCAGGAGCGCGCATGGTACGATGCACACGAGAGGGATATACTGCGAGGTACTACTGGCGATGAGACCGGCGACCATTACCAGGGTGACATGAAGGTTACGACAGCCGACGACATAACGCAAATGATGGGCAAGTTCAGGGGGAACGTGGACTTCTCAGACTCGCCGAATGGCTTCTTTGGTTTCGTACGGGAGACGTTCGAGCAACTTGCGCGCGAAGAGGAGTATGCCGCAGACTATGACGACCTCGATGTACCGGATTACCCTAGCTTTGGCCACAAGGACGATGAGTACGAAGGTGTTGTGCGCGACTTCTACTCGACATGGAACGGCTTCGCGACGGTGAAAAGCTTTGCATGGCTGGACGAGTACAACCCCTCTCTTCAACCTGATCGCCGCTATCGAAGGGCTGCTGAGAAGGAGAACCAAAAGATCCGCGACGAAGGCAGAAGGACATTCAACGATGCGGTCAGAACGCTGGTTGCGTTCGTACGCAAGCGAGACCCACGGTACACCCCGAACACACAGACGGCAGAGGACAAGGCCAAAGCACAGCGGGATGCTAGGAAAGCGCAGGCTGCACGGGCAAGAGCTGCGCAGATCGCCAAGATGGAGCAGGAGGAGCAGGCGGTGCCAAGTTGGGCTACCGCACGTCCGGCAGATGAAGTTGAAGAGGAAAGCGAAGCTGAGGTCGAGGAAGACGTCTACGAATGCGTTGCATGTAACAAGACATTCAAAAGCGAGCGGCAATACGATGCCCACGAGAAGAGCAAGAAGCATCAGAAAGCAATTCAGGCTCTCAAGAAAAAGATGCAAAAGGACAACGCCCATTTGGACTTGGACGAAGACGCCCTCAAAAGTGATGAGATTCTACCAGTAGAGGACGAGCTTCCGCTGGATGTGGAAATCTCTGCTGATGAAGGCTCTGGTGCATCTATTCAAGACCTTACGACAAAAGCGAATGAGCTTGACATGGACGACCACAGTACAGACGAGGAAGTAGCCCGTTTGGACCGAGTGGCACCGGGTAATACAATGTCTGCATCGCCCGTCGACTCAGAAACAAGCTCAGACGTAGACGACGAATATGCTTCACGGTCCGAAATAGAAGCACGACTTGCTGGTGCTAGCACAGAAGCCTCCACAGCACCCACTGAAGATCTCGACTTCAAACTTGAAGATCCTACAGAACCAGAAGTCACCGCCCCGCCAGAACCAAAGCTTGGCAAGGCTGCGTTGAAGCGCATGAAGAAGGCTGCAAAACAGGCTGAGAGTGAAGAGCCCGATGTCAAAAACAAGTGTGCTGGCTGCAGCGCTGGGTTCTCGTCCAAGACTCAATTGCATCAGCATTTGAAGGAGCATCCGAAACATACGGCGCTCAAGTCTGTCGCGCAACCGGGGGGTGGGAAGAAGAATAAGAAGCGGTAGAAGAAATGATGGCACGAATTACGATCTGTATGAGAGACATGGTATTGATGTACAGTTTGCTTTAGCATAGCGCAGGTGTTTGCTACAGGCTGAATGGTTTATTAGACTTGCATTGAGCGGTTGTTGCGTCCGCATTCTTCAGGCGTCTCTAAATATGCTGCGGCAGAAGTCACGCCCAGAACAGGATTTTTTTTTGGTGAGGTACATTCCCTCCATCCTCAATAGAGTGGTTAATGCCCTCTTGTATCGAGGTTTAGTGTTTCCCGTCTCGTTCCACACGCGATTCAGTGTTAGGGAAGGGTTAACCACTGCGGCCTTGGTAGGAAAGGATAGCCAGAAGATATTCGAGGAGATTGCACGACTGAAGACAGGTGAATGTCTTATCTTCTGTTCCACGGCAGCAATCAGCATCGACAAGAAATCGCACAAGATTGAGAAGATGAACACAAAGTATGTTACGTTTAGTACGAGAAAGTGTATCACGACTGATGGTGGACGAAGCGAGCTTGCGGATAGAAACTAGACGGTTGAATAAGATACAGAACATAGCTTCCAGGTTCGAGGAGCGTTGATGGAACTTTCTTCTAGCATTGAGAGGATGCGGAGTAATGTCTCTTGGTCTTCAGATGTGCCATGTGCAAAGAGACAAAAGAACAACAGTTGAGACCAGCGAGCACTGTGACCTCTTCGCCAGACGACGTGTTGGTACAAACAGTTGTTTTCATTGCTTGAAAATGCCCCAAATGATGCATATGTTGAGAATACCGTGAGGAGGGCCAATATGACCTGCGTCCGAGCGTTCGATAAGCTTTGGCAAGCCATGGGTGCGTTCGCGAAGTGGAAGTTCTTCCGTTGCGTTAGTGCGTATGCGTTTCCACACCCTGCTACGCCCCTGCAAGTGCTATCGCATGCTATACATATTATGTCTCGGGTAATCGCCTGACAGAAATCTCGCATTGCCACTTGTGTAGTCATGTTCGCGTTGCTTTTGATTCAAGGCTACCAGATGACATGCCAGGCAAAACTAGCGCCTCGGATGGTTGTGTCGTTTCTTTTTCTGCCGTGCCGGTTCTCGAACATCAGATAATCATGCTTTAACGTTCTGATGGCACTGCCGGGTGCCGGATCGAGCATGCAAGCGAATGCGTGAGAGCAGAGAGATGATCAACCACCAGGATTAGGCCATCCTCCATTCGTAGTCAGGCATTCTGTCAATGTTTTGTGCCGCACTCAGCCGTTGTTCCACCAGCCCGTGTCTTATCGGCAAATGAACAATCGTGTTCTTATGTCGGCGAGTGCGCAGTTTTTCGTGACCAAAAGTGACGATTGTTGATAGGCGGCGGGGCTGGGTTTCTCCTTGAGATTGCCGGACACCCCAAACACCAAAAAGGTCACTGATAGTAAGATAGAAGGGCATTCGGGTCTCTTTGCGGCGCAGAACCGAACAGGTTGGGGCGCATTGATCCTTGTCGGATGCTGCGGATCCTACCTTCCTGATTGCGATGCTCGCCTTGCGACATCCCATCACCTCCATGTACAGTTAGCTGAGGGTACAGAGCTGCAGATGCCAGGGGGATAAGTCCACCTGGAGTGTTAAGCTCCCGCGCTAAGCCGCGTGGGCCCTCGAACAAGAGTTATCCCATTGCATGGCGTTGCTTGGTCTCAATGCATCGGGGACTGCTCCAAGATGTTTCCTTCGCGCAGTTTTAGTTCTATGGTACTGGGTTGGACTGCAATATGGCGGTTCGCGGCCGGCGTGGTTGTTGATGCCCGTTAGCGTTCGCGGTCAGAGTCGCTCGCGTGCGCGTGCTCTCGCCAGCTAGCCAAAGACACGACTAGCCGAGGCTGATGCGTCTTAGCGCCAGGGTCTGACGGAAGCTTCTACCCCTGAACGATCCAGGCGAACGACTCCTATCCACTCTTTCCTGGCACCTTCAGATCCTTTTGATCGTATTCCAGGCCATGCACTTATCGTGTCCGGCTCTAGCGGCTCTCTGATAGGGTCTTGATCGAACTGTCAGCTCGTACTTGCCCAGTCTGTGATGGTGTGGGGATAGCCCAGGGGTTCGCATGGACACCCTCCGCTACTAATGGTTAGCTGTGCTCAGTCGACGCTTGTCAGAATGGACGCTCGTATCAAATGGGGCACTATCTGAGGGCGGCTTTTCTCTCGAGTCTTGTCCATTTCTTGGGGTTCTTGTCTCTCTTCAACTTCGCCTCTCGACCTAACAGCTTACCCTCAGTCATTCGTTAATACAGTCGCGCGTTATTCACTCGTTATGCAATCATGATGCCAAAGGCGTACCGTCTCTCTTTCTCGCACCTCGTCTTCTACATCTCGACCTTTGTAATCGCAACCCAACTATGGTCCATATGGGGGCAATCGAAACACAACTATATTCCTTTTTCACACCATAGGAACCTCCAGCGAGATTGGGACTTCAACGCTGACGTGCATGCCAATGTGCACACACTCAGCCACGACCAATGCGATTCCGCATTTCCAAAGCTGTATCACAGCTTAGATCAGTCGGTTAGCCTAAGGCAAGGCAGAAAGGTGCATATTCAGGATATCGAGATTGATCAGGGAAGATGCATGCTACGGGTTATGGTATACGAGGGCGAGGTACGTTTCCACACTTCTGGTCAATTTTCGGACTACAGCTAACTTGCCACTCCTAGCTGTTTGTCGTCGATGCCGGAAAACCAGAGGAATGCTATGTCACGAACGGAAACGAGAGAGAACGCATTCTGGGAACCCTAGCACAAATTGACCGCGCCGTCTCGACCACTTCAACGTCCGACCCCGCGATCCCAAACGTCGAGTTCTCCCTCTCGCTTGACGATCTGCCACGGCGATCAAGGAAACAGGGAACATTCTTTGGTTACACCCGGAAGGAAGGTCCGGAGTACAAGGACATTTGGATGATGCCAAACTACGCGTACTGGGCTTGGAACTATACCCATGCTCCGAGCTGGAACAGCATCAGGAAAGAGATTGAGCAGAAGGAGACCGAATTGCCATGGGCGAAGAAGGACCCTAGGATCGTATGGCGGGGCAAGGTCAAAATGGCTAAGCTTAGGAAGGAGCTGGTCCGTGTCAGCGAAGGCAAAGAATGGAGCGACATTAAGCCTGTGGTCATCAACAACGCCAGCGACCCGCATACCAAGGACGTTATGAATCTAAGGCAATTCTGCGGGTAAGAGACAAAGCAGCGACGTATGTTTGAGACCATGCTGACCGTCTTCTAGATATAAGTTCACCGTCCAAACCGAAGGTACCTCGTACTCCGGTCGCCTCAAGTACCTCCAGCTCTGTCGCTCAGCCCTGGTCACCCACCCTCTCGAATGGCAAGAGTTCCATACTCACCTAATGAGGCTTGCCGGTCCCGACGTGAACTACATCGAAGCGTCCGAGAACTTTGGAAACCTCGAATCGGCTATGGAATACTACCGTGCGCATGACAACGAAGCAGAGGAGATTGCAAAGAACAGTTACGAGACCTTCACTAGAAGGTATCTGACACCAGCGGCCGTGACTTGCTACTGGAGACGGCTGTTCTGGTCATGGGCAAGTGTACAGGGATATGAGCCACAGTTGTACGTACCTGACAAGGACGGCAATCTGGTCATGAGAGCTACACCATGGACAGCCTTCGCGGCCAATTGGCCTAAGGACCCTGCAGCTATTCCGTGAGCGGCAAGAACAAGTGTTAGGATAGGCGTTGCATAAGCATTTGGAGTACTTGGTTTTATGCTTACGATACCCGCGTTCAAGCGTTCCAATAGACACGCATTATTATCTACGTTTACAGTCATCACTCGAGGCGGAGCTCTGTCCTTTTCAGTCTTGTTTTAGATGGCTTCGACTGCCTTTGCCCTGCATCGTAGGATTCAAACGAGTAATAGAGGTTCATCAATCCAAATTCACGAGTATATCTACCCTAGCACTAAATCTTGACGCTTGTCGCCCAGCCCTAGTTATAATAGAAAGTTGTCTTGAAGGGAGGTCAGTGCACCTACGTCTCTCCAGACACTATTTAGTAGACTAGACTGCGGACCTCGATAGTTCTTGGTTCACAGCTGATCGGACAGCATGTTTATTTGTTTTCTGGTCTTCACTGCACTATCTTGCATTCGCCCACAACGACTGGAGTTTCTCGTCCTTATCGACGCAGGTATAGACCACCATACCCCACTTTTCCATCTACGGCCTACTTCTTCCAATGTGACTGCGTGCGGTATCCGTATAATATTGCTCATGCAGTCTGGTGCAGACTCGTTTGCGGGTTAGGCTAGTGTGCATATCCATGCATACGCACTCACATACTGAACTTGGTAAGATCCTAGACGAGAGATTTTGGATAGAGTGGGAAACTATCTAGAGTAATGTGAGGCTATTTCACATGAGGTTTATAGTACAAAAAGGTCCAAAAGACAGTCATTAGCGCTGAGCTCTCTGCGAATTCCTTCAAGGAACGTCCGCGAACCACTTGTGCGTCAAAGCCTGAGAAGCTGTGATGCGTCGTTTTGGATCCGTACTCATCATCTTCATCAAAAGATCAGTTCAATAGAGTGATTTAGCCGACTTCACGCGTGCACACGTGATGGCGCACCTAAAGTGCTGCGCCTCCTCCCTGATCTTTGCGACGGACACGCATCGACTCCACGACTACACCCCAACTTTGATGACGGTGCATGGGTATACACATGCTACCAAACTTCAGAATCGCATATTGTTCTCTTCACTGAACACTGTCCAGCTGCTCAGACCCGCATTGCGTTCCCCTCAGCTGCTCCGCAACCCCACATTAGCCACTATGCCGCCCAAGGCAACACCGCCCGAGTTCCCCGTACAAGCGTTTCCTACGTCTACAGATTTCGAAACCTACCTCGAGCGCGAACATGCCACGGCTCCCGGCCTCTACGTGAAGCTCGCCAAAAAGAACTCTGGCATACCCTCAATAACCGCAGCGGAGGCCGTCGAAGTCGCGCTATGCTATGGCTGGATTGATGGTCGCGCCAACGCTTGCGATGAGACCTGGTGGACGATACGCTACACACCACGGAGAGCAAACAGTATGTGGTCTCAGAAGAACGTGGGGACGGTGGCACGTCTTATTGAGACCGGCCGAATGCGTCCTGCTGGCCTGGCAGCCGTGGATGCTGCGAAGACAGACGGACGATGGGATCGGGCGTATGCAGGGTCCGCTATGATCGTAGTGCCTGAGGATCTCAAGAATGCGCTTGCTCTGGTACCTGCTGCGGAAGCTCACTGGGAAAGCATGAACAAAAGCGGTCGATATACGGCGTTGCTGAAGGTAGAGACCGGCACAAAGGCTGGGAGACCAAAAAGAATAGAGAGCATAGTTCAAGTACTGGCGACAGGGAGACGCTCAAGTTGTGGTACTACAGCAGACAGGACTGCTCGAAAGGTTGCCAAGAGGACTGAAAAGACCAGCGCGAACGCTGAACCCTGCGTGCAGAAAATAGCTCCTCCTCCCCATCGAGCAGGACTGCGACGACGTAAAGCCTAAAGACACCTGGCTATGCTCATCGTGTACAGTAATCGCCGAATCATGCGGTCACAACATGGCGGTGCCAAAAAGAAGGACTTTTTGCCAAAAACATACAACAGCGGGGATTCGCTAGTGGTCACCCACCTAACTACTAATCCGCCGGTACACTGCTTGTATATGGCTGAGCGGACGGGAAGCCTAATTCTCAGTGTCCTATGGTCGTATGTGGAAGACCTGGATTTGAGACCCAATATAAAGTCAATCAAAACCGAATACAAGTCGCTCAAACACCCAGCCATTCCGCTCGACGCCTGGTCTTATCACCTCACAAACTCTGCGTCTCACAGATCCGGCAGATCTCATTCCATGTCTGTGCCTGCAGCTTCTTCCCCTGGTCGCTAGTGACCATCTCACCTGGACTGCTACGCGTCAGGATTTCGTACCGTGGAACAGTGATTTGGGGGACTCACTCATCCAAAGTGTCATTAGACCAGAATTGGTTGTGACCGATCTTGCCGAGGAGCGTGGCGCTGACCAACTCGCGAGCTCCCTGCTCAGCTGTGCGTCCCACGAACATTTGCATCAACTTTGTTGGCATCGCAAGATACCATGGGAAGTCTCTCCCGAGATCTGTGGTGCAGTACCCGGGGCATGCAACATTGATGAAGACGTGGGCATTTCCTTGGTCGTCCTTAGAGAAGTCGTCAACAAGGCCTTGTCGTATGTACTGCGTGATCAGCTTGATCAACCCGTACGTCTTCGCGGCCTTGAAAGCAGCAGGGTCATTCAGCTTGTCGATCAATGTCTGACCACTCTTGACTGCAGCGTCTGTAGGCGTGATGTACTTGCTAGCGAAGCTGCCAGTTATAGTGAGTTGACCTGGAGCACCCTTGGACGCATTGCTCTTCAAGCTGGGAAGCAGTAGCATCGCCAGATAGGCTGTCGATAGGATATTGACCTGCAGGGCCGTCTCGTAGCCCGTCTTCTCATTCTCGACATAATATGGAGGTGCGACCCCTGCATTCAATACTACGATATGAACCTCTTCGTATCGGCTGGTAACGTCTTTGGCAAATGTCTTGACAGATGTCCAGTCGCTCATGTCAAGCTTGAGGATATCAATGACTTCGGCTTTGCAGCCAGTCTCCGTGACGATGGAGCGCTTGGCTTCTTCTCCCTTGGAGAGAGTACGCACTGCAAGGATTACTTTGGAAGCACCGTTGGCAGCGAATTTGGTGGCAGCAGGCAGGCCGATTCCGGTATTCGAGCCCGTGATGATCACTGTCTTGCCCGCAAATGATGATTTTGGGTCTTGAGGTGGGTTCTGCTTGGCCCATCGCATCACTGCCATCTGCCCTTTTACAGAGGCAGGCGGGCCGGAACCGATGAGTGATTGGACTTTGGCGTCGGTCTCCATGTCTGGTCGTGTTCGTGGATGAGATGAATAGCGGGCAATGTAGATTTGAGGAAAAGATCCATGGATGTAAGAAGAGTCCAAAGGCTCTCAGCCCATCTGGGGCTGGTTGCATTTTGTACAACACGGAGCAGTCACGACCTTGAAGAAGCTCAGGATGCGCCAGAACTTATCCGCTTCCTGTCCTGCGGAACTCCGCAGTACCGGGGTGGACGAACTTCAGAAACATCATCAAAGCATTGCCCGGTTCATTCAGCCTTGTCACGCTTAACCACCAAGTCTTATTAATTTGAAGACGATTGCGACAATGAATCAACTTCAATGCGGACTTGTACCGAGATTACAGTCACTTGGTATCGCCCCTTGAGTCTCTTGGTGTAGGTGTAAGATGCTGTAAACTGTTGAATACCTGAATATTTTAGGTAACCGCGAACTGCGGAATAGCGCTCTAGCACTTCTAGTGGATGTGAAGTAGCTACACGGAGTATTGGTCTGGTTGTAACACCACACGGTTGGCTTCCTACTCCTTGATGCGCAACACATCTCGGCAGCCCCATCCAATCCTTTACTCCCCCCATCCTTTTGACCGTGTATCAGACAGATTATGAGCAGGTTCATCATTCAGATTGATGGTTTTTGGGACGCATTCTCTTGGGTCCTCGCTATCTCTTGAACGTTGGGGATCGCGATTATCCTGGTACCTCATGATCTGACTTCAACACCACACTCTTTTCATATCTTTCACCATAGGCAAGCCTATGAAGTTGCGGCCGTTCGACTGTGCCATCGATTGGGTCTTGACTTTTGAGCCAAACGAGCCTTTTAGTGCCCCAAATCAACCTCGTATCTACAAGACTGGCTGGGATGCACTGGCAGTCAAATCATCATGAAATCGTAGATTGCATCGATGCTGTTCTAGTGTCTACCTCCTCGAGTTTGCCTCTCCAATATGCCGATCTCTGATCAAATTTGGATAAATTTCATCAGTGAACAGGAGAGGAATTTTTAGGTGAAGAGCCAATACCCGGCCAGAAAGTGGTTGTGATGTAACAAGCCCCAGAACTGGGAGATGCGGTTGCGTTTAAACGTGATCGATATCATGGGTTTGCTTGTTGGGGGATTGAGGTGATAGTGGCAGATTGCCGGACATACGCATTGAACCTGGGCAGTTATATCCGGCTGCTCACGCTCTTGCAGCACCACCTGCCGTCACTACCATTTCATCATAAACGCACCAGAACGACCCAAACAATGCAACTGCTCGCACTTGCTTGTTAGTCTTGGCCCATCGTTACAAAACTATTCTCCATAGCCGTGTCGAAAGCAACACTCGCCCAGGGCGTCATTCTGTGCGCCGTCGGGCAGCGCGACGGTCAACTAAGCAACCTTGCTGGGAAAGGCATACTTTGTACATCGCACCGCCTCTCACGATCACGGCCTGCCTCAACGCTCTTGGAAACCACCTCCAACAACCATCGCTATCGCCGTGTCACATGCCGAAATCACATGGGAGGCGGAAGAGCTTGTACCACAGCTGATCAGAAGAGCTTGATCGGAGCCAGGTACCAACGTCTAGTACCGCACTTCTAGGTCCGACTTCGGCTCTTCTTACACTGTGTCAACGACGATCGATATCAAAACTCGGCACATGTATCACGAACGTAACAATGCAATACCAATCCAAGGATAAATTATTTCAAAGACGACGAAGCCAAAGCACTACAGTCTAGATGTAGATGTAGCAGAATGGTCCGCTCATGGTGCTTGACGCATCCTCTATGGTGATGGGCCCAGGATATGCTGCCCCCATGTTCAGGGTGTCATTGAGAGTTGCATTGGGCGAGGTCAAGGTTCCAATGAAGGTAGGTCCATACAAGGCAGTGGTACGCTCAATCGGCTTCAGGTTCTGCCAAGTCCAGTAAAGCCGGTCAATCGACGAGTGGTGGAAGAAGAAGTAGGGATCGCCAGGAGATGCCGTAAAATCACCCGCCGGATCGCCGCCGATAATAAAGTGACCGGCCGTGTGCACGCCCATGAAACCGTTGGCGAAGCTGTGCCCAATTGGGCCACCTTGTAAGACTTCCCAGAACGTTTGGTAGTTGTCACTCTGGAGCAGAGAAACCACGTCTTCATCCTTCAGCCATCCCTCTCCTGTGAAGCCATTGATGTCCCGCATGAGGCAACGGGGGTTGTAGCCTAGGCCAGACGGATCAGGGTTCGGTCGGACACATTTAGATGCAGGAACCAACGGGCCGAGATTGACAGTCCAGTTCGTGAACGGTCCTGAGGTCACGCAGCCACCACCTAGGCCATGCGGAATCTTGATCGTTGGTTCATCGTTCGACGGGATTCCAGTCCAGGATTGGTTGCGGCATCCTTTGGCACCCTGTCCAGAGATCGACGTGGCAGAGCCGTCGAGGAGAGGCGACTTTGTTGGATCTTCGTACCATCTAGAGTAGCTGTCTACGTGTAGGTGTACGAAATCAGCGTATGCCTCACATGCAGTTCGTACAGGGACACCTACAGTAAGGTTGCGTGCCCTTATAACCGCATTCATTGCGCAAAGTCTGCTCATACGCCCAAGTAAAGTATCGGTGCCAGGTAAGGAAATTGCCCGTAACGCTAAACGTTGGTGTCCGAAGTCAGTACATGTCTCACATTCAGTTCGCAAAGGGAGACCTACTGGATGTTGAAGGTCTGCTGCATGTGGGTGGCTACGAAATCATCATAGCGATTTCTACAACCGGGGCACATCTCCTTCGGTGTTTTCGACGGGAGCTCAGATAGACACTGAACTGCCCTAATGTATGCCTTCTTCTCAGCCTTGGAGAAGGTAGACCTTCGAGCCGATCAGCATGGATATCGAGAAGCATTAGGTTCCGGTGACTTACCATTCCTGCCGCACTTGAACGTTGCTGGGATTGCATTTTTCGTACTGCGCGGGCTTTTGAGTGGCTTGATAGAGCTGCTGGTTGATTGCAGCGCCACCGGCCATCAGGTCCTGCTTGATGCTACCCAAGCCAGCGAGGATGTCGTTAACATGGTCGAAGGGTCTATTTTCGAACTGCGCTCGGTCGTGGGGAAGCGCATTCCCTACGGCCAAAGGCAGAATTAATGCAACTTGGAGAACACCCCGCATGGTATGTGGCTCGAGAAGGACAGTCTACGTCGAGCTCAATCTGTGGGAGCAAGCGATATTGAAGTATGACAAGACCGGAGGAGTTGACGTCGATCTCTTGAAATGAGGCTCAACTACCGTAAAAGACGTATGAGGGACGACGGGCCTACCTGATTGTGCCAGGTGCACGTCTCGGTCCACCTGTTATATGTATTCACACGACATGCAAGGACCCGCAAAAATCTCGCCTTCGAGGAGCTCGGGCACTGAGGTCCTGCACATCAATAACACATGTGCCGGGGTATGAGGTGGCTTACTACATCTACTACTGTGCATAGTAGACATCGCATTCCAGAATAACCCGGGGAGGCGGGCATATCCAACTGGGGAAGGTCTCACATACTTTTGAAACCCGTGTATAGACGGCGTCACAGCCACTGTCAACTACCTGGTACTAGGAGCGATCCGTCAATTCGATCGGCAACAGATCCGATCGCCACGCATTTTGGATATTTTGTGCTTCGCTACTATTCGTGCAATTCCGTAGTACAGAGGGCCTGACGCCAAGGCCCGTCACATACGTCAAGTGCTCTCCATGCGCTGCCAATCAAACCTCGCCGGGCCTTCACCTAGCCTCCATGCCTTCTTCAACATCTTGATACAATCAGTACTCGCGGCGTTATATCTCCGCATAGTACGACAGACTGAGAGCCGTGGAAATGTCGAGTCTTCCCAGCCTGTTGTGCGCTAGCCAAAACTAGCAGGGGCGGCGCGCGCCTACCTGCATCACGAACTCAGCTGTCGCGTCCCGGAAGTATGTAATATGCAGACAAAATTACAATGACTGTTATTACGCGATGAGCAGGGTCGTGCATGGCTTCCGTGTGTTGAGGGGTATACAAGGTGATAGACATTCCTACTGCACCCTCAACAGCACATGTGCAGGCTGTCGTTTCGCGACTGGCACCAGACGGCTCGATCGCAATACAGAAACTGGCACGACCATAAATTGAGGCGTTCAAGACCTAGCGTGAAAACTTGAAGGCTGTTGTGGTTGAAATTGTTATTCACGCATATTTCACCATCGCAAAATCGGATTTAGGCGTCCCAAACTTCGTACGTTACCCTCGCGTGGCTAAACCTCCATCCTCAATTGTTCTCGCCCCCAGACGCCACCAATATCTGAAATCTGACAGATGCACATGCAAGATGACTTCTGTGCGAAACTACTGGTCGCCTACAGGATGAGATTGAAAACACTCAACCTAGACTGGAACCGAGACTTTCTGCCTGAGTTGGGAGACATTCTGTACGTCAACCTGCTCATTTATCTGGGACAAAGATAATGTTTAAACAAGGAGTGTGATACGATACGCACCAAGAGCAACTGTCTGACTTGATTGTTCCTCGTCAAGACTTCCTACCGCTGTTACTCTCCACGATCGAGACAAACGTCAGAATCATTACAGTTTGTCTATTCACGCAGAAATCTATAGCCGCTAGCTCTTCTGGCACAGTCAGCGCTCTGATACCAAGCCAATGGTACGGTTCATGACACCCGACTCCGAGGCTTTTATATCCTTAAGTCTCGCATTATATCTGGCACGCGAGGCGCAGTACGACAGACTCGTATGCAGTGAGATATCTCAACGCGATCAAGGGTAGCACGCGCATGTACAGAGGGTCCGGGAGGGAGCATATCGAAAGTATCGTCGCACAGAGGGCGTACATGAGAAGGGTGAGTTGTGGAGCGGCGAACGAGGATACCATCTTGCCTGCGCATAACGACATCATGAGGACTACGCAGGTTAATTTTTCCTGATTTAGATGTTCCATGGTTATGTTTCATCTCCAGTTCTCAGCCTGTCACAAGAGAGAAGCCTCGTGAGCGGGTTGGCATAGCTCTCCAACGATACCCATTCCATCAAGGTACTGTGCCGAAACAGAGCGAAGCGCTGCGTCGGAATGCTCTTCTCGATCATCGAATTTTACCAGCATTGAACACCGGCCTCGCGTTTTGTTTTGTTGTCATTTTGCATTCAATTTGAAAAATTGCCACCAAACCAATAAGCTTCCTTGGGTAAGTTGTGACTCAGCACCGTTCTTGGAAACAAACCCCACATAGCATCGGAAGAATTGGCGCATGTCAAAGTAATTGTTAAGACAAAATGCAAGACGAAGAACAAGCAAATCGAAGACAAAGTCCGTTAGCTATACTAGAAGGTGATGTCAGGCTAGCTCCTCCAGCCACACACATGTCGACAGAAAACGCGAACCGCTACTAATCATCCGGGACATATTCGCTATCACTTTCCCCCTCATCGCTGTCATCAGGGATAAGCCACAGACCTGCTTTATCAGCGGCCTCGAGAAGCATAGCCCTCTTCTTCAACCTATCCGTCACTATTCCCTCAAATTCAAGTCCCTTAACTTGCATAGTATAAAAGTATGATACATACTTCTGCTTGATTCTTAAAACTCTGTACCTCGTCTACAGGATCTGGGTAGTATTGCCGGTGGGTTCGATATTTATTAGAAAGCTGCCACGGTGCAGATTAATGCCTGTTCACAGTGGGCCCTGTGTCCCTACCAGAATGCGCGGCCGCTTTTGGTGTGCGAAGTTCCCATCCTTGTCCACCTCATCCTGGAAGCTTTCGATGATCACGTCCCTCTCTTTCTGACTGAGCATTGCGTGGAAGAACGACGTCTGTACCGGGAAATCTATCAGAAATGACGTCAAACGCCGTCATAGCGGTGAAGCAGTTCTGTGTGGTGACGATGACTTTGCGAAGGTGATCCTTAGGTTTACCCTGGAGCGTTTCAGTGTTCACCTTGTGTAAGGCTGCCGTATCCATCATAATCTGTTGGTCCTCTCCCATAATCTCTTGTATATTGTCACACATAGTGCTCATCTTCGGGTCGTTCTTGCACGTCGCGAGAACGGTTCGCCGAGCTGCGTTATCGGTGAAGGGCAGTGTCATGTAGGTGGGGCTACCCTTTAAACCAAATTTCTTGCTCATGTTCGATTGTGTAAGTTTCGCTCCCCAATCGTTGAACAGATGCATGATGCCGTGTAGCGAAGGGAGGCTGCAGAGCAATTGGATGGTCTGCGACTGTTTATCAAAGTCCCGGGTTATCTTCCTTTCATTCACGACTCGACCATTCGAGCCAGTCTCAACTACATCCATAGCGAACGATGTAGTTTGGGTGTTGCATTCCAAGAGCTCTTGCGGGGTGTATTGAGGTTCCCGCACGATGTCATACATAGGCGGTAGCTCTATGAGTTGCGTGTTGAATGGCGCCGGTTCGGGTATCCGGGTGTTCTGTTGGCGTCGTATCGAGATGAGTGTCAAGAGGTGCCCAAAGACGTCCGAAGAGTTCTCCTTGGTCTTTGAAGGCTTGGACGGCTTCGCATTCGTCTGATGCACCGCTAACTTGATATCGAAGCCTAGCAGCTCCATGTGATCTGAGTGCATCCTCTTTAGATCGTAGGCGTTCTTTTCACGCTCCCATCTGTGTAGGAGGACCCGCACCTGGATCTGTGCAATCGCCCAGAAAGGTGCTAAGTCGTTTGGTTCGGTGAACGTTGTTCCGATTAGGAACAGAAATTCAGCTTGACGGTCTTGGATGTTCAACTTTCCGCCCTCCAGTTGACAGCCAATCATATCTTCCTTGGATGATGTGGATGAGCGTAGCGTTTTCGCAAACCCACTTCCCTGGCCCTTCGACTTGTGCGATTCGTCAACCACATGTAGTTGAAAGTTAGCTCCTGACCCCAGTGGCGTCTTCACTTGTTTCGTAATATTCTTTGGTGCTGTGATCAGCACGTAAGCGCTGACTGCTCCCTCAAAATCGCCATATTGGTCGCACGAAAATTCAGATATATCAATAGCGGCGTCAAACGTGGAACCAGCTCTTTTGTTTGTGCTTAGGATGTTCGTGATGCCGCCAGAGTTGAGTGCTTCGCCGTGACAGATGATAGGGGTTAGCTTGAAAGGTGATTTCTTGTCGCAGAGATATTCCACCTCTTCGCCCAAGCTGGTATCGTAGATCCCACCATACAAGTGACCATGTACGGCTTGTTGAGAGATTCCCAGTGCGCCGTGGGAGAGTTCAGTTGACACTTGCACACTATCGGCCAGTAGTTGGCAGAAGGACACCTGGTGCCGACTGGGTCGTCCTTGCTACAGTGTTTCCTCTTCCCTGTTGTAGTATCTTTGCGGGACTCCGAGATCGAGTTATCCATCTGATGCAAAACTTTCAGCAGCCATATGAGACCGGCATTCTGCAGGGTCTTTCCCAGACCTTGTTCGTCACAATTCCAGCCCGCCATCCACTCTTTTAGCATGTCCATGAACTGTACAAGCGACATGGGCTGGTGGGGCCAGTGAGTCTCAGAAACCCCCTGCAGCTTAATCAACTTGGCCGTCATTCGACTAACTCGAAGGAGCTTGAAGATTTCGCGGGCGCGGCTGTACTCTCATTTGGTGAAGCGGCTTCGGGTTGTATCCGTGTCGTTCGTATAGTCGAGAGGAGGCGGAACCCATATGATATCTTCGTCGTCGCTGTCTAGAACCAAGTCATTGAAGTTCACGGCCTCGTCGGCGAAGTCGCCGGCATCGCTGTCGTAGCTGTCGTAGCTGTCGTAGCTGGCGTCGCTGACCTTCGGCTGAGTGTCAAGACCAGAATCGATATTCATTGGCAAATCACGGCGGATCGCGTGTTGAACAACTCCAGGCTTGGGTGTGATCTTCGTCCTGAGCATAGTACCGTTTATTTTGTGCAAATCCACGCAACTCAGCTGTAAACGATCAATGTCATCATCGATTGAAATGACAGTGACTGGATATGGCGCCAGCAAAACAAGGTCTTCTTTTGTAAGATCCCACCAAACATCCGAGGTCATTAGCCAGTTCAGGATATGTTCCGCAGTAATCCAGGTGGCGCGGCTCTGAATATTTCCTAGAAGTTCCGTGTGCGAAACATGTGTCAATGGCCTGCTCTTGTGGACGAGGTCTTCGCACTGCCTACACAGGTTATCATTCAAATCAAGAGGTAGAGATTTGCTGGACATTCGTAAGTACCCCGGAGTGCTGACGAAAGGTCATAACAGGGCGTAAAGATACGCCACTCGATCATTAAGAAGGACCACAGTACGTGTCTCCTCTTTCTGACCATCGCGCCAGCTGAAGTGTGAGCAACACCATGAGCTGTCTGGCCTGCCCCTCTCTCAACACAGTCCAGGTTGCCCCTCCACGACCACCCCGCCGTACCCCTCGCACCTTTCGCCCCTCATCTTTTTGCCCCTCTGATAGTGCCGCAATCTACGCTTTGTCAGATTTGCCCTTTCTAGTAGTGTCAATCCGCACTAAAGTTTCCCGGGTAAGTCGCAAACCCTCAAAGGACAACACGTAGGCATCGCGCAGCAGCAATGTACATAAACGCCATGCGAAACGGTAAATGCAGATCCCGTATGCGAACAAGAGACTTATGTGTGTGTAAGTAGTTCTGGGATACGCTGCAAATTGGAATGCTAAGAGCAGACATGTTCGATGTGGATGTGGTGTTAAGCAATTTAGGAATGCGATGCAGCAGACATGCAAAAGTTATAATATTGCTAGGTAGACATCATCACTCTATATAGTGTATCAACGAAGAAGAATGCGTCCTTGACTTAGACTAGAGCCTGGTCTCAGTTCGGGCTCGTTATAGTTGTTGTACCTTGATGCGAAGGCGACAAAAAAAAGTGTTTCTTCTGCACACACATCCAGCCTTTCCCTAAGACTTGAGCTCGTCAAAAAAAATCTGCTTCCTGCCAGACTCGAACTGGCGGCCTTCGGATGTCTGCTGCTGTGAGCAGTCATATGTACTGATATGAGACCGACGTGATAACCAACTACACTTGTGGGGTATTAGTATTTGTTTCCAAGAACGGTGCTGAGTCGCAACTTACCCAAGGAAGCTCATTGGTTTGGTGGCAATTTTCAAATCGAATGCATTATAACGACGGAGCAAAATCCGGGGCCCGCGTCCAACGCTGGTAAAAGTCGATGATCTTGTCGGTGGGGCAGAATAGAAGACATGTTGGCACCAGAGGCTCGCAGACTAGTGTGTATGGGTAGAAACCAAGGCGGGGTTGGCGAACCATGGTAAGCCATAACCATTATACCTTCAAGAACATTAGAATTATGCCGTATCGCGTCAAGCCTACATATCTACACAGAATACTCCATTGTCCGTATTACGGACAGCACGACCCACCGTGACCGTAACGCCTTGTCGTGACGTAGAACCCGAGCATTGCCAAAACGCCGGTAGCAAGTCGACCGTCCACCCCACATTACTTCATTCGATCAAAGACTATGGCCCAAGTCGTTGCCCTCCATCCGGAGTTCTATTGCTCAGCGGCACGCTCGTTGTTGGCAGTACACCGTACCGACCGTATGTCTTTTGGTCAACACTGACGTAGTGCGGTAACCTTCCAAGCAAATTCAGCTTAGTCTCAACCCATCTCAGAATCTTCTCGTGCGGTACGAGGAACTTGATGTATCCGGAAGCCCAGAGGTAGCCGAGACCTGCGCCGCAAAGATGACCAACTAGACTGACGTAGGGGACGAGGATGCTGGTCAGGACAATGAGGATCAGAGGCATCGTCCAGGTGGGTATTTTGTATGGCCCGACGCTGGGAAGAATTAGTTGTTGGATCGGAAATAGGGGTCGTGTGATTGTACCTAAAGTACGGATTCGCCTTGTGTGTCTTCATTACTTCTGCTGACAGAAGGAGGAACACCCATACACTGTTACTGTTAGCATGTCTCTATAAGGTCCCATAAACTCATCTGGCATACCTCGCGCCCATGACTGAGGTGTTGCTCCTCAGTACATACTTTTCCAACAATGTGTACACGCCTCCAGGTATCGTTCCAAAAGCTGCCGTCTGGTCAGCTTGATATCCATACATGTGACTCAGTTGATATCTTACGCCCAGTGAAGAGCGCCAACGTGACGAGTGTTCCGTATTCGGACTCGAAGCGCTCGATGAGTGGCGTTACGGCGACGAGGTTGAAGATCATGTGGATAAAGTTCCAATGTAGGACGGGGAACAAATTGAGTCGGTGCACTACGAGTATGTTGTATTAGCATCATGTTCATATTGGATCAGACGAAAGTCAAGTGCAACATGTCTCCTGCTATGTTCTCCTCCGTCTTCAATGCCAGCTCCGTGGGTTCCGCGCCCCATGGTCCACCTACGCCGCGATACAAGACCACAACATAAGCACTGTAGCCGACCATATTCCCCTGGTAGTAACAAAATAAACATACTCTGCGTCAAATCCATCTTGGCCGGCTCTAGGGCGCCAAAGTCCCTAATCCACGGGAAGGGAATTGTTGCAACCCATAGCCCTACAATGGCGGCGACCAGCACTTTGGTGCAAAACGGCAGGCGCAGGATATACGACCGTATACGGGCAGGGCTGATCTGGGGGATCGAGGATATGGGCATGGTCGGAGCGAGCACGCCGGGCGTTGGTACAGTTGTTATGCAGGCGCGTGTGTTGCTAAGAGAACAGACACGAAGATTACTATGGGACTAGGGTCCAGAGCCGCGCTAGTGACGATCCTCCCGCTGGAGTCGACTTAGCACCTTCCCAGACGGATATGTGGGATGCTGGGCAGAGGGCAAGGACACGACCCGGTTTTCGCTATCTGCCCTCTTACATGACATGCGATTGACGTGTCAACATGGCTCTCTTGTGTGAGTATTGCTCTTGGTTATGCGACCGACGATTAGCTGACATGTGAAGCCTCAATACTGGCGCTCCGGCAAGACAAACGCCTGCTCAAGCTACCGCCTTACCTCTCCGCTCTCTGCATCATCATTGGCATAGGGTGGCTGCTGGTCCTTCCGCTAAACGACTACTCGCGGAGAACATATGTCTCTGAGAACGCGCTCTTGCCCGGACAGGTACACACCTACTTTACCGGAAGCGAGCACAATGTCTTCCGCGCCTACCGCCATGAGGTACATGGAATGATAGATAAGCCTGTCGCCGAGTGCGTATACACGATATATTCTACCAAACAGAGACTAACTAGACAACAGGCGCTCACAGCGACTCGAAGCCATCTTCCGCGAACAAAACCTCAAAGTCGCAACCCAGCACTACAACTACACCGTCTCGAACCAAACAATCGCAAACGAAAACGTCTACGCTATCCTCCAGGGCCCCCGCGCAGACGCTACCGAAGCCATTGTGCTCATTGGAGCTTGGAAGAACATGGCAGACGAGGTCAACAACTCTGGTGTCGCATTGGTTCTCACACTGGCGCGCTACTTCAAGCGCTGGAGTCTATGGAGCAAGGACATCATCTTGCTCATTCCCGGCGACAGTACGATCGGATCCCAAGCCTGGGTGGATGCATACCACGAGGCCCACGATACGCGTTACGTTGAGAGCTTAAAGATCAAGAGCGGGGCACTACAAGGAGCGGTCGCAGTCGACTATCCCGCTGGTCCATGGGGTCACCGATACGATAAACTGCATGTGGTGTATGATGGCATAAACGGTCAACTCCCCAACCTGGATCTGTTCAACACCGCCGTGCAGATCGCCTCCAGCCAAATGGGAATCGGCTGTGTGATCCAACGGATGTGGGACCACAAGGACTCATACAAGGAGCGTCTTCAGACTATGCTTCGAGGAATGCTTTCGCAAGGCATTGGCCATGCGACTGGACCTCATTCATCGTTCATCCCATACCACGTCGACGCCATTACACTGGTGACAGTCGGAAACGGCTGGCACGACGAGATGTCGCTAGGAAAGACGATTGAATCGCTTTTCCGAAGCCTGAACAACCTTCTTGAACACCTGCACCAGAGTTTCTTTTTCTACCTCTTGCTGCAGGATAAGCGTTTCGTCAGCATCGGCACATACCTCCCCTCTGCCATGTTGATCGCGATCAACTTCAGCATCGCAGCCATGGCATTGTGGGTAAAGAGCGGACGCACCACAAAACCCATCGGTAACCCCGCGGCCACGAAACCCAAGAAGGCTCCCTTCCAGAAGTCTTCTCCCGCAGACACCAAGGCAGCCGAGGACGACACCGACCCCAATGCGAAGGAAGCAGAAGTCAAGGAGAAATCTGAGAGTGAAAAGAAGTCTGAACCCGAACAACCAGCAACCAAACTCGTTGAACAAGATGGCTCCCTCGCCGTTGTCCCCGTAGCCAGCACAACAACAACAGAACGCCGCCTCCTCTTCCCCCTCATCCTCGTCCTCGCCGCCCACGCCTCCGGTTTGATTCCTCTTTACCTCTTCAGCAACTGGGATGCCGACCACCTTCCCAACCTCTTCCTCACAGCGTGCAACGTCACTACGCTCGCCCCGCTCATCATAACCTTCCTCTTCTGGTGGTCTGCTCCCGATGTCCTCACCCCGCAAGCTCTCTGCCTGTTCCAATGTTTTTCGTTGTTGCTGCTAGGCATGTTCCTTGCGGCACTAGCGACGCTAAACTTCAGTTTGAGTATTTTGGTCGGTGTGCTGTGTGTACCGTTGAGTTATGTACGGAGGAGTGACAACAGTGGAATCACGGGGCTGCAGTTGTTGACTTTGGCCATGACGAATCCCCTTCTTGTTGTACAGACGGCAACCAAGCTACTAGGAGTGGATCTTGTGGATGTGCTGATGCAGAGTGCGATTGGGTGGCACATTTGGGGTATGTGGACGCAGGTTGTTGTTTGGTTAGTCTGGTTCCCTGCGTGGTTGGTGGGAGCTTTGGTGGTTTCCACTGGATTCTGGCAATAGAGGTCAGAGATGGGTTGCAGAGTAGGTCATGTATAAGCAAGAGAGTTGTACGTGGTGTCATGAGTCTTTTCGTTCGTTGACCATCTATGGCCACTATCTATGATTACATCGTATGCACGCGTGTTGCATCAACTGATACATGTCACCCGTCAAGCATTGACATGGCTTCCTCTCAAAGGCGAGTCCTCACCGTCTAGTAGAACGTGCACCTTGTTCAAGCAGCCCAAACATCCTTGCCGACACCCTCGATCCAGTTGCCCAGTTGGTTGACACTGGCGTCCCACTCTTTCAACCTCGACCTCATGCCCTCAATCTGCTTCATGTCTAGAACCTTGGGCTGTACCCAGTTAATGCGTGCAATCTCCGCAACCTGGTCAATTTGTCCCTTCAGCAGCCCTAAGCTCAACGCCTTCATGATCAGGTGCTCGATCTCGTTCGGTTGTACCTTGGTCTCTTGGGAGATTTCGGAGAAGGTCATGGCGCGGTCGTGGGGTGGGCGACGGAACACGGTCTCTGTGAGGGCGGATAGCGATATCTTCTGGTAGAGGAAGGTCTGATGCTCTTTGAGGAGCGGAACCTTGGTGATGTTGTTGGAAAGGACGTCGTATGCCATTAAATCGCCGCGGTTGAAGGCGAAGAGGAGATCGCGGAGCCACGCATGTGGGGTATTGACGAGCGAGTCGAGGATGGGGTGCAGCAGCAACTCTCCGAAGTTGTAGATGGAATCTGAGACGAGGGCGGCAATACTGAGGTCGTAGGCGCGAGACTGGCGTTCGCGCAGCTCCAGGTCGTTGAGGTCGACGCAGGCGAGGAACAGCAGGGCGTTCTTGTAGTATGCGGCGAACTCGTGCTTGGACTTGTAGTACTCTGCGCTTGCCCGGTAGAACGAGGCATGCACAACTGTCTCAACTGAGTCAAAGGTATCCAGTATCTGCTCGCACTCGTCGAGCTTCTTCTTGGCGCCCTCTTCATCTTTTAACCGTAGCTGTATGCTGGCGGCGGCGACTGTGGCGTATACGTAGGCGTCTTGTGAGGCGGGCTTGTTGACGCTCTTTGCGAGGTCATTGACAAAGGTGAGGCGTTCCTTGTCGTCTGCGAGA